TCTTTCTGCTTATTAAATGGAAAATTTAAGGAGCAGGACTTAAATTTCTCTTCACGCTAAAAGGAAGCTTTGGTGACTCAACCCCCAAGCAATCTGAAAAATCATGGCACCGGAACCCGAAGATGAGATCAAGGACGAGAAGAACCCTAGACCTCTCGATGAGGACGACATCGCTCTTCTCAAAACCTATGTATGCACTCTTTCTTTCTATAACCCTAATTTTCTTTTAACTCATTTGCTGGATCTGGTTGTCTTGCTTTATTTTGTTAGGTAGTAGACCGTATCGGTCTTAATATGTTGATATCTCGAGTAGTGATAGCACAGGATAGTTGAGAAATTTGGGAAATTTTATATGAATTTTGTTTTGCGTTTTGCGTTTTGTTGTTTAATGTAGGGTTTAGGACCTTACTCGAATAGCATTAAGAAAGTTGAGAAAGAAATCAAGGATATGGCTAAGAAGGTGAACGACTTATGTGGTATCAAGGAGTCTGACACTGGCTTAGCTGCACCCAGCCAGTGGGATCTTGTTTCTGATAAGCAGATGATGCAGGAGGAGCAACCTCTTCAGGTTGTTAATTTGTATATTATATTTCACTAATTTCATTTCCCTCTTTCTTGTGTTTCTGAAGTCTTAAAGCTCCTTCTTTTTGCCATCTTTTTGACTAGGTGGCAAGGTGCACCAAGATAATCAATCCTAACTCTGAGGATGCCAAATATGTTATTAATGTTAAGCAAATTGCTAAGGTATATTTTAGCTTTTGCGGATTCTTTTTCTGTCTTGTTATACTGAATACCATATGTGTTTGTCCAGATTGTGTAGTTTTTGTTCTATGTTTACTTTTGTTTTTACCTTTTTCCGTTGAAGAATGTAACTTTGCTGAATTCAGTAACTCTTTTCTTTTTTTTTTTTTTTAAATGAATTTTTACATAGTGTAAGTATATTTTGGTGCTGTTTCATCTTGAATCAAATTTGAGTATGAATTTATTTGATTTTTATTTGTCATAATGTCATATATGTGCATGTTGGGCCTAATAACTTTTACTAATTTGGCTGCAGTTTGTTGTTGGGCTTGGCGACAAAGTTTCTCCTACTGATATCGAAGAAGGCATGCGTGTGGGGTAAGTTTCCAACTTATCAATGAATAGCTCTAGACTTCCTTCTTACTCTACTTTATGTTGATGCACATTTCGAGGTACTTGTACTCTTTTACTCATTGACTATATATCTCTTGTTAATTTGACCAGTATTCTGTCATTGCAGGGTTGATCGGAATAAATATCAGATTCAAATTCCCTTGCCTCCAAAAATTGATCCAAGTGTGACCATGATGACAGTGGAGGAGAAGCCGGATGTGACATATAATGATGTCGGGGGTTGCAAGGAGCAAATTGAAAAGATGCGAGAAGTTAGTTTTGTGTTTTTTAATCTTGTTTATTACCTTTATCCTTTTTTTTTTTTTTTTTTTGGTTAGAACATTGAATGAATATAAATTATACGGCCAACATTAAAAATATAGAATGAATTTGGAGTTGTATTCAGAGATAAGTTAGATATAACTGTTGCACATGGTGCTTATAACAGTGAGTTTGGTTTTGTCTAGGTTGTTGAGCTACCCATGCTTCATCCTGAGAAATTTGTGAAACTTGGTATTGATCCCCCAAAGGGTGTTCTCTGCTATGGCCCTCCTGGTACAGGTAAAACACTTCTAGCCAGAGCTGTGGCTAATAGAACTGATGCATGTTTCATCCGTGTTATTGGAAGTGAGCTTGTTCAGAAATATGTTGGTGAGGGAGCTCGAATGGTTCGTGAGTTGTTTCAGGTTAGAAGCTGCTCCATTACATTTAAATAGTGTCTGAAGGCCTTGAAGTTATCTATGATTCCTTTTGCTTGTTACCTGACTACTATGTTGTCCCTTGCAGATGGCACGTTCAAAAAAGGCTTGTATTGTGTTTTTCGATGAAGTTGATGCTATAGGAGGTGCACGTTTTGATGATGGTGTTGGCGGTGATAATGAGGTCCAGCGTACAATGCTTGAAATTGTGAATCAACTTGATGGGTTTGATGCTCGTGGAAATATCAAAGTCCTAATGGCGACAAACAGGTTAATTTTGCTAAACTTGCATATGATACTTGTTTTGTGAGTAGTTTCAGAGTGCCTATATATCCTTATCAGCCTTGTTTTAACCCCCTCCATGAATGTGCATACCTTTGTTGTATACGTGGAGTCATATACTTTCTTTTGCTTTCCTTTAGTTGTGTGTACATGCATGTATTCATTAGTGGGGTTTTGCAGTTTGGAGGGCAGCAGATGGGTTGCTCCTCCTTCAAGTCTGCATAATTAGTGAAGAATTTTAAATTGAGCATCATAAATTTGTTATTTTAACTAGCACCAGTATCTGTTGCTTTCCATAATGCTTTGCTTACAATGGGCTTGATGTTCTCTTTTTCAGGCCTGACACTCTTGATCCTGCATTGTTACGACCAGGACGGTTAGATCGTAAGGTTGAGTTTGGCCTTCCTGACTTGGAGAGCCGA